AAGGTTGTTAACAGTTTGATTAGTACCTGTAATACATGTATTAAATAATATAAGTATATGTAATATATGTTTTCTGTGATTATCTTGCCATGAACTGATGAATCACATAACATAACATCACGCCTTTTATCCCCGAAGGGGTAGGCAGAGGTGCGCATTATGCCACTGTACAATGTAGCACCCACGTTTCACTATTTATGTTATGAGTCCCATGTAATAGGGGGTGAGCCTATTGCCATATACCGGGCACAATTCTAGACTCCGTGCTACTACTGAGAATTTTTTAAAAACCCAGTAATACTTTGCCCGACCCGGGAATCGAACCCGAGACCCCTTGCCCGGCAGTCGCACTTGCGACCACTCGGCCAACGAGGCAGTCTTTTCTGAACGAACATACTTTTCTGAAAACTGATAAATCAGTTTTCAGAAAAGTATGTTGACCGATGTCAAGAAATCTTTTTTTAAAGGGAAAATAAATCAAATGACTTCTCCCGCCCGGGTGAAGCGAGAGGGAGTGTCAGACTCTTGACTCTTATCGACTAAAAACCACACCGTTACTCCTGCACTTCGAGAGCCCCGGCAACACGTTAAGTCTTCTGCAGCTCCGTATCCGTATCAGCCCTATTGGGCCCCATCTGTGTACTCTGACGGCTCTTTGAAGCGCGCGCGGAACGCGACGCGTCGTATGCTCGGTAACCCAGTTTATTTGACTTATTTATTTTTGCTGTTGGTCAAGAGATCCTCAATATAATACTCACCAGTTTTCTTTACAGTTTGCCATAATGAGTGATGATGTAGGGTCTACATAACCTGGTAAGTACAAAATAATAATGTACCCTTAGCACAACCTACTTAAGCAACAACGATGACACAAAGTTTCCAGTAGGATAAGTTCATTGTATGAAGTTGCTGAGTCATCACGCTCAATCTAAGTTGGGGCCGGCAGTGTACTGCTCGTGTCGTGGGACGTGACACTTGTGTCCACACTTATGTCATAGTTGGGTAGATATTGCCAATGATAAACTGTTGGAGTTCGTTTTGGGCATTTATAAGAGTTTTTGTATGTACTTTAATATATTATTTCAAACCTTTATGCTATGGGGTGGGCATAAACTACAGAGCCAGAGAGATTTAAGGCCGGCAACGCACCTGTGGCTCCTCTGGTGTTGCGGGTGTCCATGGGTGGCGCTGATCGCTTACCATCAGAGTACCAAGCACGAATTACTATCGCAATCGTAACGTAATAGTATCGAGTGCGTTCGGCGCTCTGATTGGCCGGCTCAAGTGAACCAACCAATCAGAACGCTTAACTCACTCGATACGGTTACGATACGAATGCGAGAGTTATTCGTGCTTGGCCCTCAGGTGATCCGTCTGCTCGTTTGCCTACTATTCCATAAAAATAAAACAGAGCTTCGGCTTATATGATCCCTATAATAAAAAAATTGGGTATATTTTTAAAGAAAATCGGCATTATACTTTCAAAGCAACTGTGAAGTGAGTCTTGGTCAGTTTGTAACATTTACTAGTTTGTCAGGTTTCTGCTTAGAAGCATTATCTCTATTTAATGCTAGGTCATGTTTAGTTTTACTTTTGGTCAAGTGATCACAACGTAACAGCAACGGGCCTTTGAAAAAGAATTAGATGTTTTCGGTCTCAAATTATTTTTTTTTACGTTGCCCAATACAAGGACTTTCTCCTGTGTCGTGGATACGTTTATAAACATACAAATTCACACACGCATGACACCCAGACCTGAAACAACAATTTGTGGATCACACAAAGAGTTATTTTTTGCGGGAATCAAACCCGCTACACGTTGCGCGTTAGCCTGTTGATCCGCTAACGCGCCAATCGTGCAGTCGATAAATTGTCAAGTAGTAGGTGTGTAGCAACTAAACCTGATGTGAAAATGAAATTAAGGTAACCACAGCGGTAACATTATTATAAGTAGCGTAATTAGTTAATAGACAAGCAATCTCTCAGATGATTTACTGTCCTAGTCTCACAAGAATGTAGATCAAACAATCAGTACGGAACTTAAAGAGAACTATGCACTAATGAAGTTATTTAAAGTCATGTAGAACTGCATATAGTTGTAGAAGTATGCCTCAGATTCATCTGAATCGAGCGGTAAGGCTACGGGTTATTTCATTAGTCCGCCATATTGGAAATTCCCGCCATTGTCGAAGATTGTCGCCGCCGCGCCGCCATCTTCATTACGTCTTAGCGATTTTAAAATGGCCGCTCTATAGCCCTTTGAGTTTTAAACAAGAAATCCTTTGGTTGTATTATATTGGGAATTTAATTAATGTTTGTCGATTTATTGTTTAACTATTTATGTCGGTGTTTCTTAAGTTGTTATTATTTTATATATCTATTTGCGTTAACTTTTAGTTGTACTTTAGTCTACCTTCACGTGATTATTCAGGTTTAACATTGCTTGAATATGGACACCGCCATATGGCGTCCAATGGAGACATATGCAAGTCATAATATTATTTGGTTCAATAATCGAATTCTAGTTTCCTACTAACACCAAATCTCAAAAACAAGAACCCATTTCAAATACACACCAAAATCAACGTAATAAGATTCAGTTTCCATTAATATCACGCATACTTTACTCGACGTAATATTGTGCAGAAACCGGGATGCTAACTAGTTTGGCTCCTGCGACGTTGCTTGCATTTTTTATAAGTTGCCGCAGAGTTGGGGACTTTCAATCAGCTTTTGAACAAGCTGCTGAATATTTCATGTATATATTTACGGATAGACCGACGACCGACATTGGGTGAATATGAAAGAAGGCTGGGGACACGTGTGACAGATTACGGTTCATTGTAATTATACTTGATTTGTTTTGCGATGCAAGTTTGTGATAATATCTTAAGAAGTCTTTGAAATATCGTTTTGTATTTTAAACATAATGAAAGACCAAATACTTTATACTTTTGCTCGAAAAATGACCGTATCTTACAGTAATCGTTGCTGTTGATTTTGTTTTCATTTTTATGTTAATTTATTATATACATCATGCTGTGCTCCGAACAGCGTTACCGTAGGTGTAACTAGTACGTACTATAACGGGCTGGTGCTGAAAATCAGCGCCGTGGGCTCGAGCCTCTGTGCCCGGTCCATGGTATTAAGCTGAGCTCCAGCCTTTTGCGCTGCGACGCACCATAGGCTTTTTTTGTGTTTCTAAATTCTTGTTGTGTGTCGTAGCAAAATAAATGGTTTTTCTTTCTTTCTTTCTTTCTTTATATCTACCGGATTTTCCTAATACTTCTGAATTGTATTTGTTGTTATTGAATTTATTTGAGGTTATTAGCAATGCGGTTCCCGACTTGTTCCCGATAACAATTGAAATAGGAAAGAACATACTAAGTAAAATCTGTAGACTCATCTATCTAGCATTTCAACGGCCGATTTTACAATAATCAATTATTATTATTAATTCTTAACTGTAGAATAAAAATAACATCTTACAGTTTTTACATAACATAACATCACGCCTTTTTATCCCCGAAGGGGTAGGCAGAGGTGTACATTATTTATTTATTTTATTTTTATTTAAGTTTTATACAATACAATTGCATAAGGAGGACTTAATGCTAACAGCATTCTCTGCCAGTCATCCTTTGGGTAGTGCAGAAATGTATGTGGTAGGTGGTAAGCTGCAAAAATGTTAATGGTAATTATCAAAATTAATAAGGAGCATCAAAGCACACATAAAATACGTATATAATAATATATATAATCATACATATATATAGATAGATATAAATAACATCATACATAATATAATCTATCTATGAGCCGTATATGAATTTATCCTATATTAAAACAAGATGAAAACTAATAAAAGATGTTATGAAACTGCCAGCTTTCTGCTAATGTACTCACGCGCCCTCCGCTTGAAACTCAAACGACTGGTTGCGGCACTTAATGCCACTGTACAATGTAACACCCACTTTTCACTATTTATGTTATGAGTCCCATGTAATAGGAGGTGAGCCTATTGCCATACACCGGGCACAATCCAGACTCCGTGCTACTACTGAAATTTTTGAAACAACCCAGTAATACTTTGCCCGACCCGGGAATCGAACCCGAGACCCCTTGCCCGGCAGTCGCACTTGCGACCACTCGGCCAACGAGGCAGTTTTTAGTATGAAAGAATTGTCAAACATTCAAAGTTTTTTCTCGGTGAAAATTTACCTGGCATTGGAAAAATCGGCCCTTAGAAAGTTAAATATAAGGTATCGTTTGGTTCACCTTAAAAGGCATAATAATATGTTTACTTAAAAAACCCAATACAAAAACGTTAGCCTCATTCAAAACCAACATACCACCTACAAAACACGGACACATTTCGGTAAATTCGCTAAATTCGCCATCTTCGCCAAATTGCCGCCTCCCCTTAGGGACGTCACAATTATTCGCTGGAGTGTGAATGCTCCTCGTGGATGAGTGGACAGCCCTACGGAACCCTCTCTCGCCATTATCTACGATTGACGCATCGGTTACACCTTTGTACAGCCTACTGCTCTCTCGCTTAAGGTTACAATTCTGGTCAGAATGTATTTAATTACTTTGCGAAGATAAAAATAGTTTTGTATGAATTGTTAGAAACATGTAAAAATACATACGTAATGTTTTCTATCTTTGTGCTTAATCAAAAGCTATAAACGCAAGGAAAATTGGGAGCTTATCTTCTTTTTTATTCAAAAGTTATTGTACATAGATGTAGTATTAAGATAGAAGTGATTTCCCAACCAAGGTGTAAATATAAGAAGATATTCTTTTACAAAAGACACAAAATAATTACAAGGCAAATATTTTATTGTTTTCACTATCTAGATAATTATAATACGTTTTGGTACAACATTGAAAGTGGACCATAAATCGAAAAAGAAATAAAAAACCAAATAACAAAATTGCATCGTATATTAATTACACAAGACTCTATTCACATTGGATCATTATCGTCATCAGCTTCAACAGTAGGACATCAGTTCTTGAACGGAGCAGGACTTCTCACAGCACTCGTCAGCAGGTCCCCTTTTGCCTCGGTTACCAGCAAGAATCCTGGAGCCATGATGGGGCCACCAGCCAGCATCTCTCTTGGACTCATCACTCCAGCAGAGAGCAGCTATAGCTCTTGACAAGGTCCTTCCACAGTAGAACTTATTACCTTCTTGGGCATAGTAACAGGTGAAGCAAGCGAATAAGAAGACACAAATCAGGTAGAACTTCATGGTTGAATGGTGTTGGTGTATCAAACGGTGGAGTTGGAATGTGAAGATTCCCATACAGCCCTGTGCTTTTATACTCAGATATAATTATATGCAGACATTAAGCAGGTTTGAACCTAATTGTGTAGGATGTGGAAAATCGTGATGTCATCTTATTGTGGTCTGGATATTATTTTTAGGTAACTTTAAATAAAATTGTTTCTCTGTTACTCTTTCTCAGTTCGACTACATGTTTGTATAAAATGGATGGCGAAATGCAGGTTTAATCATGAATTGAATGCAGAGAAGATTTTTTTAAAATCAATGTCAAGTTTGATTCTACATACGTACGTATAGTACTTGGCCCTACCTATAGTAATGAAGCACCTACGTATAGAACTTTCATTTCTCATTTTAGCAGAAGCAATATGCTAATGTATATGTATGTGTTATACTGCTATCGGTAAATAAACAAAGTTTACGTCTCGCCAAGAACATTTATAGACCAGAGTCATCACATACGCGATGTAGGCTACTGTTTGATTGCGTCAAAGTTTCCGAAGAAGATGAACTTAATATTGCTTAGTTGACGAAACAGTAACATGTGTAAAGGTTTTACACAGGAATTCTGCGAAAGAGTGGTACTGCCCTGAACAAAATATTCGAGTAAGCAAACCCAGTTTTTAACTTCAAAAAAATATCCTCAAATAAACGCCATACAAAAACACAAATCGGTACAATATTTTGAAACAGTCTACAATTAAACCACGAATACGTCATAGTCTAGGTAACCCGTCGCGCCGGTCACCCACTTCCAATAAGGTGCACCCAAATGTAAAATTAAGGTGACACACAAGGTAAACATCCAACCTATATACTACATTACAGATTAAAATGTCCCCATTAGTGTTTTGAATATTGATGAAGAGTCCCAGTATAAAAGCTCGGGAATGCAGGTAAACATCACATTCAAGCTTCAGCGTTTGAAACAGTCACATCTACCAGTTCTTCAACCCCCTCATCATCATGAAGTTCTACATCGTCTTTGCCTTGATCCTGGCCTGTGCTGCATGCTACGCTTCTCGGGAAGGAACTGATTTCTACTGCGGACGGAACCTGGCTATCACTATAGCAAAATTATGCTATAATTCTGAGGTCGCTAAGCGTGATGCGGGCTGGTGGTTGCCTCCCCAAGGCATCAGGGCTCTGAACGGCGTTCGAGGCAAACGAGGTCCTGTTGACGAGTGCTGCGATAAACCCTGCTCCCTTAATGAACTTCTGTCTTACTGCTAAACTTGGTCCGAACTTACTGCTAAATGTTGATTGTAATAAATGAGATTAATCTCAAGTATTTTATGTGTTTGATTAATTAAGATATATCTTTGTTTTCACATTATATACAGACTTAAAAAATTGGATAATTACAATAAAAATTTGTATAGTATTACTACAATTTCATTATTTTTGGTTAAATAAAAAAATCACTACTTTTATCACCTCGTTAGCATTCTACTGAAGTCTTATTCTTATCAAAAACTTGCAGACTTTACAATTAATTACCAGTGCCCTAAGTATCAGTACTCCTCCACCCACCTATTTGCTTTGAAGAGTGTACCAGTTCTGTGTCTGTTTGTAATATTAAAGTAACAGCTTTTTACTACATGCATATAAATATACATAAGTACGATACACATACAAAATTTACCTTTTTTTTAATTGTTGTCTGTGTCTGTCTGTCTGTTTGTACTGGCTAATCTATGGAATGGCTGGACCAATTTTACAAGACTTTTATTAGCAGATGGCTGATGTATTAAGGAGTAACATAGACTACTATTATTTTTCGTAAATAGAAACAAAATCAGTTGTTTTCCAAAATTTATATTCTACTACTATACAGCTAGTAATTAGTATAATTTGCAAACTAAATAGTACTTATTAGTCTCTCCAGCATAATATGAGAATGTAGACTACGATTGTTCGTTCCATATTCCTTCTGTCAACATTGCAGGAGCGTTTTAACTAATTAAATATCGCTCTCAATTAGCTACCAGGTTGGAATGGACCTGATTGATTAATATTTGCACATTCTTCCCTCATTTCCTTTGCCTTTCGCCTATCGCAATAAAATTCAGTAGCTTACTGCTAGTGTGTGGTTCTGTATAGGGTACAATTTTGCTTTAGCTCTCTTCTGAAGCGAAAAATCGTTTTAGAAAATAATGTTTTTTTTTATGGAATAAACCGGTAAACGAGCTGACGGATCACCTGATGGTAAGCAATCGGTGTCACAGATGCACACCCAAAATCCCAGATTTGTTGCAAATGCGATATCAGTCTGTTGGGGATTCGGATTTTGAGGATTGTTGGAGATTCGGGAATTTGGTAGTGGCGTAATTGGGCCTCAGGTAACGATGTCCGATGAATTATCTGTTCTAATAGATAGATATTTCATTATTATAATTAAATATATTACGTTCATTTTATTCTTCAGACAGTGCGGAAAAGAGAGATAAAACTCGTATATTGGGTACTTAAATTAAAACTAAGAACATGCAGTTGTTATTATATCTTATACTTTGAATCAATGTTCCTATTTTGAATCAATCTAAATGAGTTAAACTCAGGGTAGGTAAAGTATAAATTCTTCTCCAATTTTTTCATTTCAACTTCTTATAAACGCCCACACAATTTTTTTTATGTAAGCAGACGGATTACCTGATGGTAAGCAATCGGCATCGCCCGCACCTGGAACACCAGAGGCGTTACAAGTGCGTTACCGACCTTTTGAGGTTTAGAAGTTTGAGGATCGCTGGGGATTCAGGCATTCAGGAGATTGGGGATGGGGAGAGTAATTGGGCCTCCGGTAACCTCACTCACACGACGAAACACAACGCAAGCGTTGCTTCACGTCGGTTTTCTATGAGGCCGTGGTATCACTCCGGTCGAGCCGGCCCATTCGTGCCGAAGCATGGCTCTCACACACTTATTGTATCTCTATAGTTGTACAAATCAATACATAAAAGATCAGCAGCGATATCAATATCATCCAATTTATGGTCCACCGCAAAACTCTTCGATAATCGTAAAAAATAAGTACCTATGTTAGACCTAAAAAGCCACAATAATTATTCAAGAACCGTTTTCGAAAGGAGCAAAAAACCGGGTACATTTATACGTAGCCTTCTCACTAGGGACTTTATAAGTGCTATGCTGACCTACAAACTGAGGCTCCCTCTGTAGGGTAACCCATATAACATTAATTTTATTGGCCAGACCGTCTTGGTGCAAATTCCCGGTGTACTGATAAAAAATCAGCATTAATCATTTAGCTAACATAAAATCCAATGGCTTACGTATCTTTACTTGAATAAATCAGATATAAAAGTAATATTTTATTGGCTAGTTGTCCTTCAGACGGAGGAAAGGCTTTGCTTAGATCTTCATAGAAGTATAGCGTATATATATGTCATGGAGAACCTAACGGGTTACCGGGGCCGAAGTGCAGGAGAAGGAACGGGGTGGTTTTTAGTCAGTAAGAGTCTGACACTCCCTCCCGCCTCACCCAGGCGAGAGAAGTCATTCGATGATTTTCCCACCTTAAAAAATAAATAAGCGTACATATATGTATGTATGTAAAGATTAAAATGCTTTGTCCTTTTGAGAACGTTTCCGTTTTCCGTCGGTTAAAAAGTAATTATTTGGTATATATTATTTGGTGTGCATTAATTTTTTTTTCATCCTCTACAGCGTTTTGAGGGTTTCATAGTATCGCGTTCCAATAGTGTAAGAACTTTGTTTCGTAGTGACACAAAATATGTTTCCAATTTTAAAAATTAAAAAATCTGTCACGTTGATTTTATGGACACAAAAGAGACTGTTAAGCGAAAGGTTAATATTTTTGGGAGCATTGTAAGTTTTCACAATCTCTGTCGTGCCCTCTTAAAGAAGTTGAATATTTTTTTTACCTAATTAAAAATTACAAAGGGCGGTTCTAAAAATGCCTTTTCTTTGTCACATGGAATATATTTTTAGAATATCGAGCAAGAGTTTTATGCTTCATTAACAAAAAAAAAATGGAGCTCCAATTTATTATTTTAGCTCTAAATTTCAACTTTTTGTTGTAATTATTTATTGGAAACCTTATAAAACTATTTCTATAATGACGGAAACGAAGATTATAGTTCTTTTTTGAATTTGAGCGCAAAAATATTTTGTAGCATTACAACGTCATCAGAATCAACAGCCTATAAGTGGTCACTGCTGACCATAGACCGTTTCTCGCATGGAGATAAGATTCGAGCATTAATCACCACGCTTTCTCAATGCGGGTTGGCGATTTCAAACTTATAATTAGAAATTATAAGCCCAGGTTTCCTCACGATGCCCTTCACCGTTTGTCAGTGGTGTCGGAACTCGGAAAAAGTCATATTGGTACTTGCCGTTGGTAGGTTTCGAACCGACATTTTAAGTTTAATTTTCAAGTTTAATTAATAAGGACTGCCTCGTTGGCCGAGTGGTCATAAGTGCGACTGCCGGGTAAGGGGTCTCGGGTTCGATTCCCGGGTCGGGCAAAGTATTACTGGGTTTTTATAAATATTCTCAGTAGTAACACAGAGTTTGGAATTGTGCCCGGTATATGGCAATAGGCTCACCCCCTATTACATGGGACTCATAACATAAATAGTGAAAAGTGGGTGTTACATTGTACAGTTGTATAATGTGCACCTCTGTTATGTTATGTTGTTTAATTAATAAGTCACATACTTACATAATTATAAAGGTTTACATGAATATTTTTCAGGTAAATTGTAGTCGTATTTACGGCCTCTACTGTTAATTTATACATGAACGGTTATTAAGCGGCTAGGTACTTAAATTTCAGCATCAGTGATGATTAAAGCCGACACGATATTGAGGCTTCGATGCGGTTTGAGGCTATATTCAGATTAACCACGCCCCCTTTTACAGCGCATTAATGGACTTGTTTTATTTATTTATTTTTAAAAGCTGTATTTATTTTAATACTTCGTAATTATTTGAGGTATGACTATAATTTTACTGGTGGGTTGAAGTAAGTATTATTTGCATATAACATCATCACGCCTTTTATCCCCGAAAAGGTAGGCACATTGCGGCACTAAATGCCACTGTAGAATGTAACACCCACTTTTCACTATTTATGTTATAAGTCCCATGTAATAGGGAGTGAGCCTTTTGCCTATACCGGGCACATTTCCAGACACCGTGCTACTACTGAGATTTTAAAAACCCAGTAATGCTTTGCCCGACCCGGAAATCGAATCCGAGACCTCTTGTCCAGCACTCGCAATTGCGACCACTCGGCCAACGAGACAGGCAGTTTTTACTAACAGTAGGCACAATATAAGTTTATTGTTATACTTTCAAAGGGCACACTTTCACTTTTATTCCAATTCCACGAATTTCGTACTAACTAATGAATATTCGAAATAATAATATATGTATGTAGTTATGAATGTCATTTCGATAATCATTAGACCGAACATCAGAAATCCTAAAAACATGAGTTTTCTCAAAATTAGCCGTCCCTTATATAACATCATTCGATTTCAAAGACTCAGGCAATACCTCTTTATTATTAAAAAAATACCAAAAAATATCCAATACAATTTGTAATTCTCTCCTCCACAATGAAAGGTTTTCAAATTATTCGCGAGCATATAATTCTAATAAAAGGCATCCATTTTTTTAATGTCAAAGCAATTTGCGCGCTCCCATATTTTATGGTGTGAGTTTAATAGAGCGCGCTTTGACATTCATACACAATGATGATTGTGACAAATTCTTATGAGACAGGTGCTCGTTTTTCTTTTTAAGGAAATACTTCAGTTTACATTCGATCATTATTTAATCGTGAATTCTTGAGATAGGATGTTTCTTGGGTAGGTACTTATTGTTATACTGCCTCCTTGGCTGAGTAAGGGGTCTCGGGTTTGATTCCTAGGTCGGGCAAAGCATTACTGGGTTTTTAAAAAATATCACAGTAGTAGCATGAAGTCTGGAATTGTGCCCGGTATATGGCAATAGGCTCACCCCCTATTACATGGGACTCATAACATAAAAATTGAAAAGTGGGTGTTACATTGTGCAGTGGTATAATGTACACCTCTGCCTACTCCTTTGGGGATAAAAGACGTGATGTTAGTTAGACATTATCACTTACCACCAGGCGAGATACTAGTCAAATGTCGGTCCATCAAATATATAAAAATGAATAAATATAAAGCCCTAATAATATAAGTTCTAAAATCTTACAA